CTTACCACACCACGGTAAACAGCTTACCACACCATGGTAAACAACTTACCACTTCTAACACGGACAGGGGACTAAACACAATGCTGTATTCTACCATAATGAGAAAAGCATTGCAGCACATCAGAAATAGGCACTGGGTGTCTGTCAGATTACTGCACAGATCCACTCACTGCCAGTAAGGACGGCTTCCTTAATTATAATGGGAATGTGCTCAATTTGTCACTGTCACTCAGCCATACGCATGCAGTGAGGAAATGGCCGTTATTTTTTCTATAGACCCTTTCTACAGACACGTCATAGATGGAAAAACAGCTGAAGCACATAATGTTACTTAAAATAATGTTACTTAAAATAATGTTAATTAAATGGAGGCTCTGCAGCCGAGCAGAGTGCAGAATACGTAGGTAATTAACAGGATCCTTTGTAGTTTCCTATCTACGACACGCCTATAGAAAGAGCCCATTCATAGTGTGACAGGTAGGAACTAATGTGGATGGTAGTTTTGTAACAAAAAGGCAGCAGCCGCGTGTTGTGGACGTGCTCTTGATTCATTAAAAGGGTGTGTGGTGAGCCTCTGAGATTGAGCTACCTGAGTTCCTGCAGTATTCTTTAATATAAAAAGTGGCACAACAGTCGCTTTAACCTCGGACGCTACATTGGTGGCAGCGGTGTCCCGCTTGCATTGTAATAAGCCGTGTTTTTTTTGGTGGGCATTTTGCTGGATTATGTTATTGGAGCTAGCAGGGTGCGAATCGGTCTGCTCACCGGAGTGCACGCGGGACAAACAGCATGTTCAACAGACAGGTTGGTGGTGACGGCTACGACATGGATGAGAGTGCTTGCAAATTCAGCACCTTTGTTTCTGATACCCCGTGCAATATCAGGATGGATTTACTGCCGCTGTTCAAGGGGGATGGCACTGAGTTTTTTACTACGTGGAGTAAGCAGTTTGAAGCGGCGGTGCGTGCTCAGTCAGCATGAACTTCCGGCAGGGAGAACAAGGCTACCTTGGCTAAGATTCTTCCAACCGGGCTGGATGGTGCTGCGCTTCTATTGCGGGACAGCCTGCCGGCGGAAGCGCAGTGTGATTACGACCGTGTTAAGGAGAGACTGATGGATGCATTTGGGCAGAAACAGTTTTTGCTGTACTTTCAGACTTGCTTAAAAGCACGGCCCCATTTTGAAATGGAGAGCTTGGAGGTTTATGTGGCGGATATTTCGAGTTTAGTTTCGGAAGCATTTCCTGATTATGATGTGGCAGCTTTGAATGGAGATAAGTTCTGATGGTTTCTAGCTGGCTTGGATCCCGCTTTGCAGGCAAGGTGTTATGAACTGGGTGCTACAGACCTGGAAGACGCGCTGACGATAGCCGGTCGTTGTGAGCGGGCCAGACAGTCCATGGGGGTGAGGGCTCCTTGCTTACCTTATACTTCTCCACCTCCATCTATGGTCGCCGCATTAGATGCCCAAGCTAAATCTACTATGGAAGAAACGGCAGTTGCCAAGGGACTCGTTGGAGCAGTGGAACGCCTTGCGGTGATGGTGGATAAGCTGCAGAAAGAGTTGGAGGACATTAAGGGCAGGTCCTGTCGGGCACCTGATGGACAGGTCTCGCTGTACCAGGGAGACCGTAGTCCCTCCCCCTACCGACGACAGAGTAGGGGTTGTTTGTGTGAGTGTGGGGAGTATGGTTGTTGTTCTGCGATTACTCGCCCAAGGGGTCGTTCTCCGGGATTCTGCACAGTAGTTTGGGGAACATAGTACCGTGATGAGGGAGAGTTCCCCACACTACAGGGAACCTCCGCAGTCTAAGCCTCACGGTACAGGTGATGCTCCACATAAGCAGACCGTGAGGTTTAGGTCTCCCACTCACCGCTCACCATCTTCCCAGGGTCAGGAGTCTGGAAACTATTGGTAACTGATGTGGCGGCTCATACATCAGCGGCAATGCAATGGAACAAACAGCCGAGAAATGTTCAAGTGATGGTTCCTCAATGACTGCATTTGTTAGGGGGGTGTTAGAAGGCGTAGATGTTTCTGTGCTCATTGATACGGGCTCAAATATCTCGCTGATATCGGAGGAGTTCAGAATGTCTATTCCGACCTTGTGTAGACGGTTACTTAATAAAAAATTCTGTATTCCCGGGCGGTGGATGAACGGCTGTTGGATGTTTTGGGTTCAATGACTCTGTCCATACACATAGGGACTGAATACTGGATGCAAGAAGTGTCCATGGTTCGGGGGGTGACCCAGGCTGTGTTGTTGGGATTAGACTTCATGGTCTGTCATCACGCCATTCTAGACCGTGGTGCTGGACTCCTGCGTTTGGGGGACAGGGGGTGTCCCTTTTGCGTACGGCAGAGTTTGCACCACAGTCTTGTAACATATCCATGGCATCAGGGGTTACTATACCACCCCGGACGGAAATGATTGTTTGGGTACAAGTAGAGGGGACTAATAAGGTGGGCCTGTTCCCAGAGCCTTACATGGGTTATGTGTAACCTGGTGTTAGGGAGAATTCTGAGTTAGTGGTGGCCCACACAGTTGCCCAGGTTAAGGATGGACGCACGGTGGCATGGATCCTGAACCCTACTGACACAGCTGTATATGCCCGCTGGCTCTCAGTTAGGAGTGTGTTATCATATCGGGGAGGATGATATTGCCAATCCAAGCACGCCTGATGACCTTTCTATAGCCCCCCTTCTCCCGGGCGTATCAGGCTCTCCCCTCTCTTGCAGGGAGAGGGAAAAAGTGCAGGCTCTTCTGCAGCAATTTCAGGGGGTGTTTTTCCCTGGTAGGGGCGTCGCACAAACTGATGCACGGGTTAAACATCATATTCACACAGGTAATCACCCCCCAATTAAGCAGCGAGCTTATAGGACAAGTACGGACAAATGCCAGGAGATCGACAGACAGGTGGAGAAATTGCTCAAAGATGGTGTGATAGAGGAGAGCTGTAGTCCATGGTCATCCCCTGTGGTGCCTGTGAGGAAAAAGAACAACACCTGGAGATTCTGTGTTGATTATAGACGACTCAATTCTGTCACCGTTAAGGAATCTCATCCTCTTCCACGAGTGGATGATACATTAGATGCGCTGTCTGGGGCCACATGGTTCGGTACCCTGGACGTCTCAGATGGCTATTGGCAGGTGTCTGTAGCTGAGGAGGATCAGGAGAAGACAGCTTTTACCACGGTGCGGGGACTGTACCAGTTTAAATCCATGCCCATGGGCCTCACCAACTCGCCTGCGACATTCCAGCGCTTCATGGAGATGGTGCTGAGGGGGCTTCCATGGAACATCTGCATGGTATATTTAGATGATATATAGCTGCTCATTTGAGGCCCATTTGACTGACCTGGAAAATCTCCAGGATTGACACAGCAGGACTGAGACTCAATCCCATGAAATGTCAGCTGGCAAAAAGACCATGTGCTGTTCCTAGGTCATGTAGTCTCCCGGGAGGGACTTAGACCTGATCCTTGCAATACAGAAAAGGTGAGGACATGGCCCACTCCATGTTCGGTGACAGAGGTGCATGCTTTTCTGGGACTCTGCTCTTATTATCGTCGGTTTGTCAGGGGATTCGCACATTACGCAGCTCCCCTTCACCACCTGACTGGCAAGGGTGTTCCCTTCTGCTGGACCGAACAGTGTCAAACCGCATTTCAGTACCTGCGTGATGCCCTATGTGATGAGCCTGTCATGTGCCATCCAGACTTCACCCAACCTTTTATGCTCTCTACAGATGCCTCACAGACAGCTATTGGGGCTGTCCTTGCTCAGGAAATAGGGGGACAGGAAAAAGTGGTGGCCTATGGCAGCCGTGCACTGACAGCCGCCGAACAGCATGAGTCTACTTTTGACAGGGAGTTGTGGGCTATTGTATGGGCTGTGTGCAATTTTAGGCACTACCTGGCCTCTAGACCTTTCACCATTGTCACTGACCATAGGCCTCTGCTAGGGCTGGGGAGGGTCCAGTTTAACAGCGACAGAACGGGACGCCGCAACAGGTGGGTCCTTGAACTGGACCCCTATGATTTTGTGGTGGTGCACAGCAGTGGTGCTCAGCATTATAATACTGATGCTCTTTCCCGGAGGCCTCCAGGCCCGGATGAGCACAGAGGTCAGGAGGCAGTTGCAATCACTCATCAAAGTACACAGACCTGTAGTGCCATATGTTCTGCTGCAGTGTGTCATTAACAAACCAGTAGGCAGGCTAATGGGGCCGGACACTAG